ACTTGAACAAGAGGCCGCCTAACTTTCTCCCGACAGCCACATCATTATTAAGTCAACACAGAAGTAGTGATTGTTGTAGGAAAGCCGGGCTCTTTAGGACTCAAAGGGCAAGCGCTAACAAGAGCGTCAGAGTTTGACATGCGCTCTGTGGAGGTGCAACAGACTTCCCAACACTGTCAGTCCCTTGGCCAAGACCCCGCTGTGCAGCCGCTGGGACACGAGGTCTTAATTCAGAGCATCCAGCTGGAGACAGAGGAGGTAGACGAATCACACCCAGCCTTCCTCACGCTTGTTGCGTCCTCTTCAGAGAGAAAAATGTCAAGAGGCTCGTTTTAGTGGAGTCTAATCATAAAATTTTCTAAAATGTTCTCTTCCTCAAATCTGGTTGCTGTTATGTATTATGCAGAATTGCAAAGTAATTGGTAGCACGTGGACGGTGCCTGCAGGAGTCACAACGTGGGCCGTTGCCTGCAGGGGATCCCCACTTGCCAGCCTCGTTTGCCTCCACACGACTTTTGATAAGCCTCTGCTTGATAGAGCCAAATATTTATTTATGACATATGGCCTCCCACTGATGCACTGTAACCACAGAGAGACTCTGTATCATTGCCAGAAATCAACTGTATTAGTATTATGTGGGGGAGAAAAAAGGCATGTATTTGATTTAAAGTTCATGTAAATTCCAGAAGTATTTTCGTGTCTGCAAACTCTGAAAGCTCCTATGAAAATATCCTAAATCTATCTCTGATTTTGTTTGATGTGGACTTTTCTCTTGCATCTTTATGTTTGGAGACCTAGCTCGTATTTGGCAAACATCAGGAGGGTACGGCAGGACAATATTGCATTCTTTCAAATGCTCCGCCCTGAGGGGTTTTATGGATGGGCAAGGACAACCCAGGTTCCCCACAGCAGTCGGCGGGACTGGAGTTAGAAGATGTATGTGTGCTTTACTCTAGAGGATATGGAATGCAAGTGTAATGCAGTCATTCCGTAACAAGTTCAATTGGAAACAGTCTTTATAGCTTACAGTTGGATTAATCATACTTGGGAGATTATTAGCAATGTTCCTGAAGTTAGCCTAAAAATGTTGTTTCTGAGAGGATCAATGGTTAAGTCATCTCATCAGAAAGGTCGTAGTTCGAGAGCCATTTGCTTAAGACTGTTCTCCCCTGGTATAATCTGGAATCCAGGAAAGGTGCAATACTGTCCAAACACTTCTCCTTCACACTAGAACAGCCGCATTTTCAAATGTGGACATTGTAAGAATGAGGAAATCACTGTTTGGAGAATATATGAGTACTCCTCAGCACTAAATTACCATATGGCCCAGAAAGTCCATAACTGCCTATGTGTATGTACATATATACACTCTAGAATAACTTACAGAGTGGCCTAGCTAACCTTACTATGCTGAGTAGATGCCATATGCTACACACAATTCCTTTTTTGAAGATGTTATCCAAAATAAGATAAATGAATTATTATTAACATATATATGTATGTGTGCATGAATATATGTATGTTCAAAGAACTGAAAGCAAACATTCAAACAAAAAGTGCTTATACATGTTCATAGAAGTACTATTGTTCATCACAACCAACAGGTAGAAATAGCCAATTTCCATCAGTAGATAAATGGGTATCAAAATGTATATATCTACACAATGTAGTACATCCACACAATGGGATATTATTTGCCCTTAAAAAAAAAAGAGAACTGTAAATGGATGCTGTGTGCTGGTTCCCGGCTACCCAGACCCAAATAATCACACAGAAACTATATTAATTACAACACTGTTTGGCCGATGGCTCAGGCATATTCCTAGCTAACTCTTACATCTTAAATTAACCCATTTCTATTAATCTATGTAACACCACATGGCAGTGGCCTACTGGTAAGGTTCTGGTATCTTTCTCCTTCATGGTGTCTGTCTAACTCTGCCTTCTTTCTCTCCGCGTTCAGTTTAGTTTTTCCTGTCTAGCTCTATTCTGCTCTGCCATAGGTCAAAATTGCTTCTTTATTAACCAATGGTAATAAAGCATATTCATAACATATAGAGGGGAATCCCACATCAGAATAGGTTGATAGGTGCTTCTATATGGATGACTTTGAAGACAAATGTTAAATGAAGAAGCAATACTCAAAAGGCCAATTAGTATCGATTCCCTTTATATAAAATATCCAGAATAAGCAAATCTCCAGAGGAAAAAAAATCAGATTTGTGACTGCCAAGAGCTAGGGGGAGGTGTGAGAATGAGTAATAATTATTTAATGTGTATAAAAGAAACTCCACTCCATTTCTACTTTTACAAGTAGGACATAATGAATCTGATGATTTTCAAAATGTTTCTCTTTAAAAGTCAGATTAAATCTGAGACAATAAATTCTTGGTGAGTTAGCAATATGACTCCACAGATTTACATGTCCCTGTAGTATATAGAGCTTAATGTACCTCATCATGGTGTGCGCCCTGATTGGTTCAAATCCTGGCTCAGAGTGATACAGGGTTAAAAAATTTGAACAATTTTTTTTCTGGTTCCCTGAACGTCATTCATCTTTCTACACATAATCAATCTATTTATCTATCGATCCATAGTGTACAAGGTCATGAGGAGAACAAGGTGATCTCAGCAGCTCTCTAAACTTTCTAATACACTGAGTCCTCACTTTTAAAGGAGAAATGGTGACATCTGCGCCAGTCAGCTTTTAATTGCTATGACAAATGCCAGTAGGAACTCACAGAAGGAAAAGCTTTCTGGCTCATGGTCTCCAAGGTTCAATCTATGATAACCTGGCTCTGTGGCTTCTACCTGATGTAATATAGAATATCCTGGTAGCTAAATGTGTGAAAGAGAAAGATGCTCTGCTTGTGGCAACTGGGTGAGCAGAGGAAGCAGCGGGGGATACAGCAGGTGACAGCTAGTGTCCAGATGTCAACCCACCAGGGGAATGATTCTCCAACGGAGGGGAATCCCATCCAGGAGGGCCTGTGGGACCACCGACACTGGAAACTGTTGCTCCTGTCTGCAATTTTGCATGTGCAAAATTATGGTGTGTCTCCAATACCTGCACTGTAGTTGTAATCTCATATGATGTGCATATGTAATCTCATGATTGTATCTCAATCTTATGGGCACATATATCCATGGATGGTCAGGAAGATGACTTTTCATTAAGCGGTATCATTTTGATATATAGAAAATATACTAGGATGTGCTTCATAACAAGACCTATTGTCCCATGAGGACTATAAGATTTGTTCCTTTTACTCAAACTACAGACCATTAGCTCATTTTTTATCTCAGAGCACGTTCAAACTAGACTGAATGTTTCTGTAAATGAATCATAAGTTAAAAACTTTACAGATATTCACAAGTCAGAGTTACAGATGTCTAACAAAGGTTATTAACACAAAGCCACCTTTAAAAATCATGCCAATTCTTCACTTGCCAAGTCTGGCTGGTAAATACCTATGTCTCACAGCTTGTCTCACTGGGCCCTGTGCCCCCAGCCTCTGGTCACAGTCTAACACCAGGAATCTTGAAACCTTGTGTTGCCATGGTAAACCCCTCTGTCGTTACTGTTTACTCACGGAATGTGTGACCAATGAGATATAACTCTTGTAGCCTTTTTTCTGACTGCCTCAAGCCTCCTGTGCAATGTGTATTTAAGCTAGGTGAACAAAGAAGCAAGGAAAAATTGCAACAGAGAATTGAAACTAAAGAGAATTCAAGATAATTAGAGCAAGAAAAATTAGAGTCGCAGAACAATAAATAAAATGACCCTCAGATCTTGTGTGCGGTTATTATAGAAATTTTTAATCCTCACTCCTGAGAAGTCTTCTCTGTCGTATCCTGGGTAGTGGCTTGGAAACTGGGCTTCCAGGCCACTAAAGATGAGGTAGTGGATGGAGGCTGGGTAAAGATATATATATATATGTGTGTGTGTGTGTGTGTGTGTGTGTGTGTGTGTGTGTGTGTATTCATATTCCAGGGTGTGCTACTACTACCAAATATGTCTCACCTCCTAGATCCTCCCAATAATGCCATCATATTATGAGTCTATTAATGGATTAATCCACTGATGGAGCGAGCCTCTTCATGACGAGTCACCCTCATCCTCAAAGTACACCAGTTGGCAACCAAGCTTCTAACATAAGAGACGTTGGGTAACATTTAAAATTCCAGCAATAATACCTTTCATCTGATAGGGTTGAAAAAATGAAATAGAATCCAGCATGTAAAAATGTGGAAGTCAATCCATGGTCGCCGTTACCGTCTAGGACTCTTACTGTGCTGGCACATACAATCTCAAACTATACTTACAACGTCCATTCCTCCATTCATTCTTGAGTGCATAAATGTATGATTCTTCACTGTTTCAGCCCCATATCACCCTCCCACCACTTTTTTGTCCTTCAGAAATGATCTCATTGAATCTACAGTTAATTGATTGTCACGTTGAGATTGCTTCTCAAACCAAACCAGGTCAGAGCACAGGACCCTACATTTCTGACAGGAGTTTATTGGAAGCTATCTTTATGACTCACGCACAACCAAAAGGACAGCATCAACAGTTGGCGGCTCACTACCCACTGCTGGTAGATTCTGCATGTCCTCTATTGACTCATTCGTTTATCCTCTGAAATTGCTGCTTCAATGTTTCCAGTGAGGTGACTATGACTTGGTTACATGCAGAGCTTTGTATTAGCTTCATGGCTTCCATTTCTCTAGAAGTTGCTTGATCTTTTCATCATTGCATGGTATTTAAAAGAAGATAAAAGTTGACAGAATACAACCTGTTTAAACCGTATTCATTTAAACATATTTCCACCTACATACACTTAAAATATGGACCCTCCATGAAATGGATCCACTCCAAAATATAGAGTTGTTCGGCGTCATTAGCTCGCCATCTGAAAACTCAAGAACTGTTCCTAAAGGTGTTTGTGTGTTGGGTCATAAAGTGTAACTAATGTTTAATGCTATATTATTTCTAGATACCGTGAAAAGTTGTGTGGCGAAGCTGTTCTTTACCTGTTCCTTAAAGGGTCAGTACTGCCTGTACAGCAGGTCCAGCTTCACCCTCATCAGTCAAGCCCCCCAGCCATGGATCCAGACCATGTTTCTCTTCCAACAGGTGTGTATGATTCATGCTCACTGGGCTCCTGAATGAGCCGCTAGGATGCGTGGTAACAATCGTATTTATTGCATTATTAATAATTTCGCCAAAAATGGTGTGTAGATAACAGCACATTTGCATTCATTCTTAGGATATATTTTTTTCCTTTAAAAAGATACTGGATCATTAATCAGCAAGTCAAACCTATTCTCATCTTACATGCCTTCGCTTTAACAGAGAAGTGGGAGGGAAAGGGAAGGGAAGAAGGGGTGGGCACCACAGTACAGCATTTACCTGCATCATGCAAGCCTTAGGCTCGACCCTCCGAACTGAAGTTTTAAGAAAACTACTTCATATTGAGGGGCAGTAAAAGTAGTTATTTGGGAGGATGCCTACCATCGGTAGAGTAGGTCTTTACCTTCTTCTAAAATCCAGTTCATTTCAGTGTAAGCATATCAGTTTTGACATTGTCATGATTCTGAAGTCCACTTTCTTCTGGTGAATATCTGTACACAGAAGAAATTACACAAAGAAAAATTTTCAACTTAACAATAAAGAATTTTATGACAAACATGGCAACATGAAAAGAGATTCTTATTTAGAAATGCTTCCTAGAAATATTAAATTTACACTTAAAATGTAAATGTAGATTGTGAGATGTCAGTACCAGACAAGATCTTAAACATAATTTTTATTGATTAAGGAAACTGAAGGACAGAACTCAGACCACTGGATCTCTAATACAGTGATCTTTTCATTGTTGCCTGTGTGTTGTATAGGATTAAAGTTGTGTTACATTTGTTCATGCTGTAGAACATTTGTTTAATGATGTGAAGATGTGTTGCATTCTTTTATGTTGCATTTGTTTAACTCCGTGAAGCTGTGTTACTTTGCCTGCCTAAAACACCTGATTGGTCTAAAAAAGAGCTGAACAGCTAAGAGCTAAGCAGGAGAAAGGATAGGTGGAGCTGGCAGGCAGAGAGAATAAACAGGAAGAGAAATCTGGGAGAAGATCTAAGAGGAAGAGGAGGAGGAAGACTCCAGGGGCCAGCCACCCAGCTATACAGCAAGCCACAGAGTAAGAAGTAAAGAAAAGAATGCAAACTAGAGATAAAAGCCAAGAGGCAAAAAGTTGACAGTATAAGTTAAGCTAGAAAAGCTGACTAGAAATAAACCAAGCTAAGACCAGGCATTTCTAAGTAAGAATAGGCCTCCGTGTATTTATTTGAGAGCTGGGTGGCAGGCCCCCCAAAGAGTCAAAGAGTAAAAAATGACCAACTCCTGTGTTTTGAAAACAAAATGGGAAATCTTTGCAGGGTGGGAAGAAGTTGAAAATGCAGGATCTGAGTCTTATGATTGAAAATTAAGCCAAACGATTCGACCATATAATTACTTCAGTTAATAAAATACGTCTATAATACTACCTACAAAAGTCACCTGGGGTAGTGAGGTAGCACTGGTGACCCGAGTTTAATTCACTGGATCCACGTGGATGAAGACCAACTTCTGCAAGTTTTCTTTTGTTATGCACATCTCTATAACAAAATACATGCATACCCATACACATGCACACACATAAATAGTAAATAATCTTTTAATTTAATAAAATATTTGAAAATTACATGTGGACAATACCTTTCGTAGACATCATAGATTATCAAATAGAAAGCCCACAGCCCAAAATAGGTATCTTTTCAAATTATTGGCCAGTGAGGTCTCAAAGACTCCTAAACATTACAAGCTATTGCTATTACTTGTGTTTTCTCTAAAACAATGATTTTTAATCTTTCTCATGCTGCGATCCTTTAGTTCAGTTCCTCATGTTGGGGTGACCTTCAACCATAAAATTATTCTTGTTGTTACTTCATAACTGTAGCTTTTCTACTGTTATGAATCACAATGCAAATATTTTGAGTGAAAGAGGTTTGTCAAAGGGGCTGCAACCCACATGTTGAGAACAGCATGCTCTAGCATATCATAAGACTGCACAGCTAAAGACATCATACACTCAATGCAAGACTATGGAGAAATCGAGCTGGTACCAACTCGGAGACTTTGTCCCTACTGGTTAGCTTTCACAGTGCTGAAAGACAGTATACGTGTCACCTGGGGGAAAATCATCATCAACCTTACCCAACTAAGTTCTGCAAGCTACAGCCTACAAAGATTACACACTGCTGTAGTAGTGGCACAAATACCGGAGCAACCAAACACCTTCTGATTGGATTTAGGGCCCACTGCACAAGATGGAACTCATGCCTGGCATCGTTAGCAGGGTCAAGAACCCACAGTTCAGTAAAGAACAGCCTCTCAGGGAGAAAAGTACTATGAGTTTTCTGCTAAAGTGGCAGAAACTGTCTCTTAATGACTTATTGTGATTCCAATAGAATGGTGTATTGTAGTGAGGGGCTACGGGCAGGCCTGCTTTTCGCCTCACCAGGCTCCCACACGGCTAGCTTAGTCCCAGAAATAGCAACACACAAATTGTATTCATTTAAGCACTGCCTGGCCCATTATCTCTAGAGAGCTAGTTACTGACTAACTCTCATATCTTGATATTAGCCCATTTCTAATAATCTGTGTAGCACCACGAGGTGGTGGCTTACCGGAAAGTGTATCCCCAAGCCCTTATCAAAGAAGCTTCTTTTTACAGTAGATGACAACTAACAGCTAACACCGAGACTCACAATTGACCAACATGCAAAACATGAGCCTGAAAGGCCCAGCCCTAAATGGGACATTTATATCTGCACTGGGTGGTTTTGTGTGTCAACTTGATACAAGCTATAGTGTCATCAAAGAGAAGGAGCCTCGGTTGAGCAAAGGCCTCCATGAGATCCAGCTGTCAGACACTTTGTCATTTAGTGATCAATGGGGAAGGGTCCAGTCCATGGTGGGTGGTGCCATCCCTGGGCTGCTGGTCCTGGGTTCTCTAAGAAGAAGGCTGAGCAAGCCATGGGAAGCAGACCAGTAAGCAGCTCCCCTCCATGACTTTGGCATCAGCTCCTGCCTTCAGGATCCTTCCCTGGTTCAGTTCCAGTCCTGACTTCCTTCAGTGATGAAGTGTAAGCCAAATACAACTTTCCTCCCCAACTTTTGCATTTTGTTCATGGTATTTTGTCCAACAATAGAAACCCTAACTAAGACAATATTATACTTCCTCCCAAAGCCAGTATCATCATGGAAGAGAGGGTGGAGTGATTTTAAGAGCCAGATGTCATAAATGATCACAGCAAAACAGTGTTTTCCAGACACAACATAGCATCTGCACATCAATTCATGGAGGTTGCAACAGTTTTCTCAAGATCAGGCAAGACAAAATCACAACACAGAGGATAAAGATGGTCACAAAGCCTCACTCCTAGCTGAGAAGCTATTGGCAATTGATGGATGCTTTGAGAGAATTAGTTAGCTTTCCTTGGATGCAGCCCCTGAGAGACTGTGTTCAAATAAAACTTTACAAAAAGAGAAAAAAAACATACTTAATAACATCTTGCAAAGAACAGCTCAGACTTTGGTGTGACCAAATTGCATATAAACATAAAAAATAACATTCATTTTTTGGAATAATAATATTCATTTTTTACACTCATTTTTTTAAAATATTTTTTATCAGTGATTTTCTGTTTGGCTCCATGCTTGGCTTTGTTCTTAACTTTCTGAAAACACACCAAGAAAACTTTTTTTTCACTCTTCCAATCTTGTTTTATTGACTGTCTGATTCTTTCTCCTCCTCTTTAAGGATATTCACCAGAAAGTTTCTCTTTGTAATGTTTTCTTTGAGCCTATTCTACTGCAGTGCTTTCTCTTTGTTCATACCTATGATTTATGCCTGGCCCGGGGCAAAGCCACAACACAACTTCCATTTATTTAGTAATTACAAACCCTTCACTGGTCTTGTACACTTGGCCAGCTCTCGATGTCAGGTCAACTTCCCACATTCATGGAGTTCTCAGATCCAGTCCTCCTTGGAATAATGACCCATTAAATCAAGCCCCTTCTTCTTGAAACAAAAATCCATGTACTGTATGATTCTGACAATAATCAGAAAAATCCAGGGTGTGTGCACAAAGTAAATTTCAGTCAGTGGCTGGCTCATAAACTTTGAAAATCTCTCAGGTGGAATAGAGAGATGACTCAGTGGTTAAAAACACTGACTGTTCCTCCAGAGGACCCCAATTCAGTTCCCAGCATCCACAAGGCAGTTCACAACTGTCTGTAACTCCAGTCCCAGAGAATCCAGCACCATCACAGAGACATGCATGCAGGCAAAACACCAATGTACATAAAATAAAAATAAATAAATCATTTAAAAAGTTAATACATTTTTTAAAAAGTTTTTAAAAAATCTGTCAGTCACTAACTTGGCGTCCATGATTCTCTCCTTTCCACAGTCAGCATTAAGAGGCCACTCGCTCGCGCATTTTGATAGCATTCATGAGATTTTCCTGAAAAAAATACTTAGGATTTCTCACTGAGTAGCAAGTTGTGTGCACAGACAGTCTTAAAAGTCTCAGTCATTGTCATGAAATAGAATTTATAAGCCAATCTCATTACTGTACCCTACCTCATAATACCAAGTAACATGGCATTGTATGTGAATAAATTACATTTATGTCACTTATTAGGGTTCTATATGTTTTTTACAAAATTCTTCTCTTCAACTGATTTGGCTTTTTATATCCATAAATGGAACATCTCAATATATCAAATTGAGATTACCAGTTACATCATAGAGTAGGAAACGTGTGAGCATACATTTAACATGCCCATAGAAAAGCTGATTCTTACTGACTGTACTGAATTCTATTTAAATGTCTTTTTTAAATGTAGTGTCTCATTGACAGCACAAAGAAGTTAAAGCTTAATAATATTCATCCATTTCACACTTTCGAATGAAGAATGTTTTATTTGTCTCATACTCATTCAGAATGTTCATATTGCATAATTATATAATGAACTCTTTAATCACTTTTCGATCTCTATTCTTCCTAGTCCCACTCTATATATAGACTCTTGTGAACTCTGGTTTTAATGTGATGCCTTCATTCTCAGATCTTTGCTAAATCCAATATGAATATTTATATTTACCACGTTCCAATTAAGAAATGCTATTGGGAAATCATTAAGATAGCATTATATTACAAGATTTAGGCACATATACAGTCAAGAACATAAAACTTTATTAATTAAAATTTTCTTTTAGAAACTCAGAAGTATGACCTAAATCATAGAACTATTCTTCAGTATAGATTTCTGGTGTATTACTTAATTATGTCATGTTCACATTCAAGGCAGCCTACATAGTACTCTCTTTTGAGATTGTACCATTGGGTCAAGAAGTGATGTGATGTCTCCATCCTTCTGCCCATTCAGAGCCTGCTTCCTGAGCCCCTGTCCATTCAGAGTGGGTCTGTGCAGTTCCTCAAAGCCCTGTGGGAGAAGACACAGGCCAGAGGAACCCACAGCTTCGAAGACGCCATGACAGAGTCCACATTTCTGCAGCAAAAGGTCGGTGCTTTTTCTCCTCACACATGTTATTTTAAACCAACATTGTCTTTAAACGGTTTGCATTTTTTCTTAACAGTTCAATTTCCCTTCTTTGTTTCTCTTCTCGTATTAAAGAGTGACCTTTGGAATTTAGTCTTGTTGTGCAGACTTGTCATCCTAGCTCTCAGGAAGCTGAAGCAGGATTACAAGTTCAAGGCCAAGCTGGGGGATATAGTGAGGCCTTGTGTCAATAATAGCAATCACCCTCATGATGAGCAGGCAGCTGTACCAGAAAATGATCATGGGGCAGAACAGAACTGGCCTTTGGCTAGAGGGAAAGTGTGGTACAAAGACTCCGGTGAGTTCAGTTTCCTGTGGGAAAAGCCATGGGGCTGTGTGGAGCAGAGAATGATTGCTGACAGCCAGACCAAAGACAGGAACCGTACTTGGAAGGCTGGGTTGATTTGGGGTTGATGAAGGTGCCATGGTCCCACACCACCATGGTTTGAGGTGATCTGGACAACACATTCAAATCTCCAAATGTCATCAACCCTATTTAATGCGATGAACAGGTGGGGCATTGAAGAGTTGATTAAGTCATGGAGTAAAACCTTTGGAAATGCCGTCAATGGCTTTGTAGAAGGAGGGAGAAGAAGAACCAGCCAAGCCCATCTCTCCTTCAGCCGTCCATGGAGGAAACAGAGTTCAGTGTGAATGGAGAGCAGTGGCCAAGCTCTTACACACATCACAGCTTCCAGGGCCTTGGGTTTAGGTGGCCTGTCTTCGGGACTGTAAGAAAGAAACTCTGCAAGTGTCTCGGCCTCGGGTATTTTGTTAACACAGCAGATTAAGACAGGAAGGGTGCCATGTTTGTGAATTTTGGTGGTTAAAATGCTAGTGTGAAGAAAGGGATGACTTTGGTATGGGTTGTGGAGTCACAAGTTAGCCCTTGATATCATTATAATAGACTGGGTCACTCAAGAGCCAGTGCACGTGCAAATAGAGATGGCTGCTGGGAGCTGCTCTGGCCAAGACCAGCGTTCCACAATAAACCCTGTCTAAATCCAAGGACTCTGATTATTGTTTTGATTTTTAAAAATTCCTAGTGGGAAGTATTGGATGAAGTGGGAAATTCAGAGTTTCTGATATAGTTAATCAGGCCTCATTCTATATTGTCTCTGACCTCATTTTACTGATTTCTCTTTTAAAAATTGTACATTTTCATAGAGTATTATGGGATGTTGAAATAGATGTATCTCTTATATATATTCAAATCAGGATAAATATCTCAATTTCAAGCATTTGGTTGTTTGGTGAAAAAAATCAAACTCTGTTATTACAGTTCTTTGAAATATATATGCATATATATTATATGTATTATATTATATATATTATATAATTATAATATATATATTAATTGTTACTATCTATAATCATTTCATTGTACAACAGAATACCATGTCTGTCTCTTGTCTCTCTTTTCTTGGTACCATCTGACCAACCTTTCCCCCTCTCTCCCTTTACTCATTTTGTTTATGAGACAAGAAATAAGCAAGTCAGTATTAAGAAACGTCAAACAAGAGCTTAGGAAGTGTCTCATTGGATAAGGGCTCTTGCTCTGCAAACAAGAAGGCCTAAGTTTAAATCCCCCGCACCTACGTTTTTCTAAAGGCAAGGCTTCATGTGCTTATAATCCTAGCACTAGGACCCTGGGATGCAGGAACAGGAAGCAGATCCTCAGAGCTTGCCGGCAGCCAGCCTAGCAGAAACAGTAAGGGGTTCCGTGAGGGATCCTGTCTCTGGAATGAAACAGAAGGCAAGAGAGGAAGACAACGATGTTCTCCTCTGGCTCCTGCGTGTGTGTGTGCACTTGCATGTGCACACACTTGCATGTGCACACACACACACTTGCGCGCACACACACACACACACTTGCGCACACACACACAATGCATGTACACAATAAGGAAGTACAAACAAGTGACACATTGTGAAAATGTCTCTTACAGGAAGAACAGCAACAGGATGAGAACCGTAACTACTCAGAATTGTTGTTTATAAGAGTTTGTAGAAAGCCGAGGAATATTCAACTTATGTTTCCCTGTCCTTTGGCCTTGTTTTAAGAACATGATGCTTGGTATTAAAAGAAAAAGGAAATCCCACAATCACGTCAGCAGAAAGTTAATGGAATTCTTTGCATGTTTCTCCCAAGTTTTCAATTGTTATATTATGCTTAAAAATTGCATCAGATTCTTATAAAAATTTTAAGCATTAGCTATTTTAACTGGAAACAACAAGAAAATTAAAACTTGGCATCTACTTCAAGTTCTGAGAGATTAAAAAATAACTTGGCAATCAGTTTCATACTTGCTATTACTGTTATTTGTATTCTTACTTTGTGCCAATAAATATCTCTTCAGGGAAAACGTAACTGTAAAGCCAATTTTCGGAAATGTCCTAAGTTTCATAATTTCGTTTATTCATGCGAACAGAAAAATGTTGGTGTCTGGGATGAGCATTGTGTGGCAAAATTTCTGTCCCAAAATTTCTCAATCAGACTTCCTTGCTACGGTCTTTTATGAAGAGTTCTCCATATTGAGTTCAAAATAGCTGAGACTCTGTGGGGACTTCTTTATGTCCACAGTATGTCCCAGAATACACACACATACCACATGCACACACACACACACACACACACACACACCCCACATACACATGCATACACACATACATACCCCACATGCATATACATACACACACTTGTACACGCACCCCACATGCACATATATACACACACACCTACCAAATCCATGCACACACATACACACATGTTGTATACACACTCATACATATATGCACAGTGGTATGAAAGTGATGGCGTTTGTCTCTCTGTGTCTGAACTTTCACTTCAGTCTAGAGAATTCAGGCTCTCAAGAGAAGCGGGTGCTTGGGAGACACATCTGAGAGAATGCTTAGGGATCCAGACTATGACTCTGTAGTGTTTTTAAATAGAAACTTGGGATTTTAGGACCAAAGACTGTCACTAAGAGTCATTAAACTAAGACCATGTATAATGATGTATACATGTTATCCTGCCACTTACCCAGAGCCTGAGACAATAGCAAGTATCTGAGAGCAGAAATTTCCTCAAATCTACCATTTTATTTCCATGGTCATACAGCATTTGGCCCAAACAGTACAAGTCCATTGAGTAAAGAAATACAGTCATGTTCAAATGTTAAAATTGGAAGCCAAGGGACCTGTTGGAAGTCAGTGGCAGAACGAGAGCTAGACTGTACACTATGGTGACATCAGGGCCATCACCAATGCATCTGGTTCTTCTCTCATCTGGACACAGGCAAGCATCATATTCCTGAAGCACAGCTTGGCCTTGAGTCTGGCCTCAACCCATGAAACATGAGAGGAGTTCTATGCTGCCCCAGTCCTAGGCCGTGTGTGAGTGTCTGTGTTTTCTCTCTTCTCCGACCATGGTGACTAGAAACAATTGCTGATACCGGACTGACAGAATGTGGAAACAGCCTGGAATTCTGAGCTCCCACATCGGGGACTGCAGCTCTGAGAAGGTAGCTGACCCCATCACTTGTGCTGCAGGAGAAAGGACCAACATTTTGTTCTATCAAAAACTGAAATTTCATATTGGTTAGAGTCACATTCCTTAGCTTTCTTTCTCTACACACACACCTGGGTAGCATGTCCTGGGGTTAAAGCTTGCCTTTGCAATTCATTGAGGCCTTTGTCTCTGTACCCCAGTTTCCTTGTGTTGCTCTCCCAAATCCCCCACTGCTGCCTCTCTCCCTTCTTCCCTCCTCCTTCCTCTCTCCTCCTGTCCCCCCCCCTCTTATTCTATCCCTGTCCCTGTCACTCTCCCCCTATACAACACAATTCAAACCTGCCTTCAATGAATTGAGAAAAATTGAGTGGAGACAAAAAGATGAATTTCAAGGACAATCTCTTACAGTTTTAGAATTTAATCAGACCAAAATGATCAGAGGGCCTTCGCCATATTTTTGTAGATTTTCAACGTGAAATTCAATGCATTTATCATTTGCAAATTCTTGCCAATCTCACAGAAGAATTGAAGTGTGACATCTTTATTTAATCTTATACTTCAAGGTTACAGAGCTACAAGAGAAAGTTAGTTTTATTTGTATAATGCATATGTTCACTGGTTCAAGTGAATAAATATCAGCTCTAGATACTTATAACATTAAAAATTTGGATGAGATCCAAACTTTGATTAACCCCACATTTTGTGTTAAATGTTATTGTCTGTTTCTTCGTTCTTCTAGACCATGACCATTACTGAAGAGAGAGCTTATGAGGGCTTAAAGTTCCAGAGCATTAGAGTCCCTGGCCATCATGGCGGAGAGCACAGCGTTGGGCAGACAGGCAGGCATGGTGCTGGGGCAGTAGCAGAGAGCTTCCACTCTTACCCACAAGTAGGCAACAGAGACACTGGGAATGGAAAGGGCTTTTGAAACCTCAAAGCCCACCCCCTAGTGACCTAATCCTTCCCAAACAGTGCTACCAACTGGGGTCCAAGCATTTAAACATATGTGCCCTTGGGGCCCATGCTTATTCAAGCCACCACAATCTGTCTCCCTAATGACATTTGCCTCACCCAAGAAGTATGCTTTGTACCCAAAGAATCACAAACACATAAAGTCATTAAAAGATATGTGCTGATCAAATAAAATAAATGAACAATGTCACTAGCTAGAAATAGAAATAGCTTTAGAACTATGCATATTTGCCTAGTAAAAGGAAATTATGCTTAGTGATGAAATATAGAAGATATTTTTATTTAGTTTTCAAATAAAACCAGAATATGCACTGTCATTTATTATTTCGTGTTGTTTGAAAGCATGGGACAATATGAAAGCAGGGATTTTGTCTGGCAGTTCCTGGGATCTGAGTATCTAAAGAGCATGCCTGGATGAGGGTAGCCATGAAAAGGAACTGGCTACTGAGCGAGTAGAACACAGAATAGAAAGAACAAATAGACTCTTGCAAATCAGGAGTTAAAACCAACATTATCCTGATACAGTGTAGAGGTAAAGAATCTTTTCAGAGCCAGTTGGTGGCAGATGTTCTTGATCCCAGCACTCGGGAGTCTGAGGGACCCCATTGCAAGTCCAAAACCAGTCTGTGCTGCTTTGTTCTGTCTTACGAAAACAAAAGGCAAAAAAGGTGAAAAGATAAAAAGGGAAGGAGGAATAAAAAGAATCCTATTGAAGTAAATAATTCTAATGACAACAAGAGTGACCTCTTACTGAGCCTTTAGGATGTACCAGTCACTGTAGTGTCCTTTGTAACTAAGTATTGAACCTGAGAAAGTCACACATTTAGGTAAACACAGTAGCACTGGATTGGAGTCTCAGTCCTCAGTTCTCACACTATGAGATGAATGCACTGTCATTCCTGTTTTACAGGGGAGTAATAATTATGTCGGAAAAAAGAAGCCAGTGCTCTTAACCTCCGAGCCATCTCTCCCGCCCTCTTAAGATTTTAAGATTTAAAAAAAAAAGTGAAAGAACACTACCCTAAATATTAAAATATAATTTTAAAATGTAATTACTAAATCATTCCACTTCTACAAAAAAAAAGAAATAACATACAAACAAATAGAGCAAAGTGTTAGTCTAGAAACCGCCAAGAATATGTATACACAGCTCAGGGGACAAGATATAATCACATGGAAAGGAAGTTAAATATTTTCTTTAAAACTTACAAGAAAGAGAATAAATATCAAAGCCCTAGAACTAACTTTCAACATACAGAAAAAGGTAAGGGCATTTGGTGCAATTAAAAAAATAGTGGTATATTATTTACTGCCGCAGCTGGCGGTGTGAACCTGGGAGAGCAGAACTTAAAAATGAGGCTAACTGAAGTCTCATACTACAGCCAGCTTTCCTCAGATCACCAGACAATTTCTACTCTGCGGGTTAAGAGTAAAGTGTACAATCACAAGGACAAGCCAAGCCGCCTGTAGCCAAAACATCTTTTTCCACCGACGCATGTAAATAACAATAGCCAGCTGTACTAAGTAATCTGAAGTAAGCTCACTTCTGTCTGCTACGCCTGGGAGGGACTCGCAACATATTCCCAGATCGACCCTGCTACGGGCCAACAGAGATCACAAGACTCCTGTGTTTACTTGACGTTTTCTCCTAAGGTCTCAGCAATCTCTTCACACAGCTTCCTTCATTCACTGCAGGTTAAATCAGGATGCAGAGAACAAAAAGAAAGTGGGGCTGGGTTTTCAAACCTCAAGACCCACATGCCCTGACCCACTTCTACCAAGGCTCCCCCTCCTAAATGTTTGACAACACTCTCTTCCCAGGTTTCTCCTCCTATTTATTTTCTGTTCCTGCCAACCCTGCCTATCTGTTCTCCTGCCTCACCATTGACCATCCAGCTTTTGATTAGATCAATTAAATGTTTTAGGCAGGCAAAGTAACATAACTTCACAGAGTTAAATGCAGCATAAAAGAATGCAACACATCTTTGCATCATTAAACAAATGTTCCACGGCATAAATGAATTTAACACACCCTCAACTAATATCCCACAGCACTGATAAGACATGCCATTCACACAGATAGGACATCATTATCAGAGCAAGCATTTTCTAAGATGAAAATATGAATACATATTTTCTACTCCTGAGTATATCAGCAGTAGAATTTCTTCACTCTGATTTTGTTATTGTTGCTGGCTTGTTTTCATTCGGGTTCATCTGGAACTGAAGACTAAGCAAAAGCCTGGTGTGTGCTAGGTAAGTCCTCTTACACTAAACTACATGCATCCCCAGCCTTCTTTCTACTTCTTGTTTTGAGATAGGATCTCACCAAATTGACCCAGAATGGCCTTAAACTCATAAGATCTCCCTACTTGAGAATCCTGAGTATCTAGGACAGCAGGCCTATGCCTCCTGGCCCAGCCTCTTCGTGCTGTTTAACAAACTGATCCTAGATTGTAAATGAACAGAAGAATTATAAGAAAGGAAAGCAAGGAGAAAATTTTTCTGTTATGAAAAGAAAGCTTACTCAAACTCATGATTATTCCTGTTGTTTAGAAGTAAGTCAGCAATAGAGTCGAGTCTGAAGCCTGGCGCGGTGGCGCACACCTTTAACCCCAGCACTCAGGAAGCAAAGCAGGTGGATCTCTGATTTCAAGTCCAACCTGTTCTATACAGAGTGAGTTCCAGGACAGCCAGGGTTACAGAGAGAAGCCCTGTCTCAACCCCACCACCACCACCACCGAAACCAAGAATAGAGTCTGAACCAGACATGGCGGTACACCACTATAATCTCAGCACTTGACTTGAGAGGCTGAGGCAGGAGAATAATCAAAGTGTTTGAAATCACACAGGACTACATACCAAAACTATATCTCAAAGCAAAAAGAAATAAAAGAGCAGAGTTCATAGTCAGTCTTTGTTGACAGAGATGTCTGTCCCACCAGGTCCCACATTGTTGTCTGAGGTTTCTGCCCCGCCCAGTACCTCAGCCATTAAGTCCCAAATAAACACACAGAGGTCTACATTAATTATAAACTGATTGGCCTATTAGCTCAGGCTTCTTATTAACTTTTATACTAGCCCATAATTCTTGTCTGTGTTACCATGTGGCTTGGTACCTTTTTCAGCAAAAAAATCACATCTTGCTTCCTCTGTATCTGGGTGACAACTACAGATTCAAACTTTCCTCTTCCCAGAATTCTCGTTGCCACGCCTCTACTTCCTGCCTGGTCACCATCGATCCACCTGTACTTCCTGCCTGGCTACTGGCCAATCAGCATTTTATTAAAAATAATACAAGTGACAGGATAAAAGACCATTGTCCCACAGCAAGTCCTGAGTTCATATGGAATTTCATAGGTAATGGAAGGAAGATTTCAGGTCAGCTATGACAAAGTTAAGCATTTGTAAAGCAGTGTGAGGACCTGTGACTTTACAGACTGAGAAGGTAGAATTAGGTCCTTAAACACTGTAGAAAGAAATTAAAGACCTGAATATAACTTAGTAAAAGTTCACACTAATTAGAAGAAAATATCAAAAGTCATCTGACAACATGAAGCCAAGAAAAAAATTAAGGCACAAATGAGCAATGAATTTAACCACTTAAAAAGTTCGATTTCTGTCTGACTAAATACACTGTAACAAAGTTAAGATACACGCACGTGCTGAGAGAAAATATTTGAAATACTTACAATGAACCTCAAACGACCAAATCAGGAAGGACAAGACTTTCAGACACAATGTCACTGAGATGATTGGTTTAAATGGTTTTAATGCTATGCAATTTTATAATGGCCATTGACAAAAATAAAATCTTGTGGTAATACTAAGATGTCCAAGCTAACAATAATATGAAGAAATGGAGATTTTATACACTATTAATATCAAAGCAGGTAGACCCAATTAAAAATATTTAAGAAAAAAATCTATATAATCATACAATTGTACAGTCAGAATGAATGAGGAACTGTCTTTCCAAAAGTCTTAATTATAGGTAAGTTTATCAGAAAAAAATAATACTTAAGCATAAGGAGGTTTTGTATTCTAATATAAAAATATTCTGTCTTAAACAAGGTTTAAGGCCATTTTTTCAGTTATGGCCTTCATTAAAAGTCAAGGTGATCCAGATCTGGTGGCCCAGGCCTGTCACAGCTTCTTGGGATACCAACACAGGAAGATCACCAGTTCAAGGCCAGCATGGACCACAGAGTGAGTTCTAGGACCACTTTGTCAAATGAGCAATATCTTGACTCAAAATTAGAAAACAAACCAAGGAACTGTACCCTGTGGTAAAACACTTGCCTAGCACACAAGAGGCTCTCAATCCAACCCAAAACAGCTCTTGTGTCCCCCCAAAACATGATCTGGCAATAGCTGGTTATAGATTATTCATGTGTGCTGGTACCATGCGATTCCACCTCTAGGCAAAGCTTTCACACACTTGCAATAGGAAACACAGACAGAGATGTGAACTCCAAAGTTGTCTGCACCACACCAACACCTCCGGGAGCAGCACCAACCTCCAGCGAAAGAATGAAGGAAAGTGCGGTCGCAACGCTGGGCTAATTAGATGCACAGGAAACAATGGGGCCAAGTTTTTAAATATAAGACTTCAATAAGCCAATTGCAAAACTTAGGTAAGCACTACGATAGCTTGCATAAATTTTTAAATTTTTATAACAGCTTTAGCTTGCTATAAAAATGCACTTCATTCAGAATCGGACTACAGTTTGATGGGGTTGCTTTTGGGTAAACAAGACTGAGAAAAACGGGGAGAGTATTGCTGGTGGGAGAAATTAAGGAAGTCTCAATTTCAGCTGTGATTATATCTTATTTTGTTTACACTGTGATTCTTGAGGTGGGGTCTCTAATGTCACTATGTAGTCTACCCTGGCCCCAGACTCCTTATCTCTTTGCCTCTGCT